TATGCAGCTTTTATAGGGTTTATTAGACTTGTGCTATATTCAATTTTATTATAAGTTTCTTAAATTGAATTGTATACATTCCCTAAAAAAATATAGCAAAAAATATTTTGATCAAATTGTTACGATATGGATATACTCAATTATTTAGAAAAATGTTACCATTTGAAATATTTAATATGCTTTAAGATATTAAGTAAAAATTCCTTTCAAAAGGACTTCGATAAAAGTTCATACTAACTAAATTTCAATAGTATTTCATAGAATAATTTATAAATTATAAGCCAACTAACTATAATTCTTGGTACATTTTAAATTCAAGATTGGTATAGTATTACAATTATAACAAATTATTAGGCAAATTTCATTAGAGTAGCTTATATTAAAGAATAACCTTTACAAATTTCAATATTTTTTTTTTGTTTCCTTCTTCACTCCTAGGAGGAGTATAGGGCTAGTGCATGATATCTATCATGCCGTAGTTTCTATAGTCATAGCGAGTTAGCTAGGTAGGTGACTAGCTTACCGTAGTTTTTTTATTTTTATTAAATATTTCAGTTTATTAATATTTACTGTTTATTTTTCTTAGTCTTTAGTATCGAATACTATAAATATTTGAAAATTACTTGTATAATATTTATTAGTATTGCATATTAAGTTATATAATATTAAATATAATTTTTGTAGTGACCTGACCGGGGTTTGAACCCGAGACCCTTCGGTTAAAGGGCTGGTGCCATAAATTTGTTAGTTCTGCTTTAATAGCTAATAACTAATTTTATTACGATAACAAGGATCACTAAAAATTTATGAATTTAATTAAAAATTGCATATTTTTAGGGAACTACAAATTTAAAAATTAATTTACATTAAATAGTGCAATTTTTGTACAGAATTGTAAATAAAATTGAAGAGATAGGTTCGTAAACGGAACAAATTAGGAAAATTTAAAGACTATCTTTTTTAAGGAGAAAGTGTCTATAGGTAATTATTATGGTCATACATATATGAACTTTTAAATAAATTAATATTCAAATAATACAAAGCTTGTTTTAGAAGTATGTTAGAGATTTAGAAATTTTGTATCTATATATGAAGTCTGGCCCTCATATAGTCTTATACCACTTACAGATGACCACTAAGTGGAATCTATTGAATTCTAAGTGGATTCAAGTAAGATTTTTTTAATACTCGCTCTACAATTTCAATTATAATTTATATAATATTATGCATAATTCAGAAAATGTTCAAACTACAGTGGTTAAATTGATCACAGACTCTCTATTAAAAGCACCACTATTCGAAAGATTATATTCGAAGTGCATAATTTCAAAGCAGACAAGTCATATAGAATTTGCAATACGTACAGGAACTAATTACAGTTCGCACGATCAACTCTGCGTCGCAAGTTTTTTAAAATAAGAAATGAAATGTGAAATTTTTACATATGATAAGTGTATGTAAAATATACATATCTATATAATTATTGGAAACCGAAATCTATATTAAAGGCTCAAAATTATAATATTTTGGTTTTTTATATGGAAAGGCTACACTCGAATCCTACTAATATTAGTATAGTGCATAAAACATTGCATTAAACAATTTTTAATATGGAAGAATATTAATTTAAAAAAGGCAGTATAGAAATAATTTTACAATATACATAATTTATTCCAAAAAAAGTAGGAAAACAATAAAACATAAAATATAAAGTGAATGGAAAAGACATTATTTATAGGAATTTTATCATATACTTACCAAATATGTAAATATTTTGAAAATGTTCTCGTATACTGAGGGTAATTATTCTCAAAATAGGATGAAGGAAAACTAAAGGATTTAAAAATTTTTAAGAATTTTTTATTTAGTAGTAAAATTTAGCTTTTCGCCTCTGTTTATTTCTAATAGTCAGTAGATTTTGCTTAGTCGCAGATACATATAAATTTATTTATAATAATTCGCAAAAATAAAAAGCAACTTTAGACAATCATGGCACTAATGTTGCCAGAAAGCAGTCGTTTTCTCCTTCATTTTTTTTTCGGTCACTATTTACTTTTAGAAAAATGGCGACAGCGATGCATTTTTTGGATATAAAATTATTTTCTCGAATATTTTATGAAAATTTTTATATTTAAGCACTTTTATATTTCATTTAAAAAAAAAAAATAAAAAAATATAGTTCTTAATACAGAAATGAAAGTATTATACCCTTGCATACATTTTGCGGCAACTCAGACGATAATTGTGATAAAAATGTAACTTTAAATAATACATTGAAAAATCAAATTTTTCAGCTCCTAAAATAAAACAAAATTAAGTGTGCAAAAGTGGTTATAATCATTTTTTGAAGTCGGAAAACATTACAGCGCTAAAATTTTTGTTATAATCTTAAATTGTTTAAAATTTCGAAATTGCAATTGATCAAATTTTTCTTCAAGTTAATGAATTGTTTTGAACTAAACTTTAATATTAAATATTTTTATTAAAATTCGGTATATGATCCAAATTAATATTTGGAAATTTTTGATAAATTCAAAATTTAATTAAAATGATTAATATGAAAAAAAAATACCACATTAATATTAATTTTGCAATATCCATTTTTTTCAAATCTACTCTTACTTTATTTTAAATAACACAAAACCTTTAAATAAAACTTTTCAGAAAAAAATTAATATAAAAAGTTAAAAATATTATTAAAAAATTATTAAGTCTTTGATTTAATGTGATATTTCATTTTAATTAATTTAAGAAGCCTTTAATTAAAATATAAAACTGAAAAATATTAAAATATATTTTTATATATGTATATATGTAGGTGTGCATGTACTTTTAAATTATACTTAAACCTCTTCTGTCATGAAATCATAGTTAAAAAATGTTTCAACACTTTATATTACACATGTGTGCGGTTAAAATTAAATACTCTTTATTATTTTATTTAAAAAAATATGTATATATGTATATACAGGGTGTCTCATTTCAAAGTACACTGATATACACCACTGTATAGGTTCTCATGAGTAGACAAAACTTTTGTATAGAGACGATATTCACAGGTCAACAGGTTCGGAATTACAGGAGCTTAAAATCAATTTCGAGTAATTTTTTTACATTTTTAAATTTTAAAAATAATTTCGTACCTGTTTAAAATAAGCGCATTATTGAATATGATTTGAAAACCGTAGAATAAGGGCTTTTTCACGTATATTTACATTAGCCATAATTTGTTCAAATTTCTTATTAACATAACTTTAAATTTCAATTTTTCTAATCATGATGACGTATACAATGGTATATAGCAGAACACTTTGATACGAGACATCCTGTATATTAAATAATATATATAAAAAATTCATTTTTTGAATTTTAAGCCCCTTTTAAATTTCATATTAAATTTCAAGTTCTTTTTGAACCATAAATAATTAAATAATATTAAAATATTATTATAAAAAATTACGAATGTATTTAGGTTTTGGTGGGTTTTTAAATTTTCTCTTGTTTTATTTTATTCATTTTTGTACCTTTTAATAAATAAATTAAATGTGTATTTTTTTTCTTTATTTCTTTTTTTTTTGTTTTAATATTTCAAATTAAAATATTAATAGTTTTTAATTTGTACACTTAAATCAAATTTAATATTTTTTTTTTGTGGAAATATAAATGACTCTTACGGTGGTCAACGTAAAATTTGGTGAGATTTGATGTGATCATTTATTCAAGGAATTTTTCAGATTGCAAAAAACACAAAGGTTTTGGAAGCTACTCACTTTTGTAAAAATAGAGAGTAGAGTGGTAAAGCTGTTATACGGCATTTATAAATGAATGTTCACGTGAATTACACCGACTCATATAAATGTAAATCGTTGATTGCCTTTGAAAGGGAAGTCACTTCGGTCCGTTTTTTCCTTATATGGTAGACCAAATAACGTTTTTGATTATACAATTATTTTTAGATAATATATGCTTTACAAATGAAGTTAAAATTTGCTTGATGTTACGCTCCATAGATGGTTGAACTTAATTATGGAATGATTAAAACAATTTTAAAAATATGGCGTGCTAATTACGGGTTATTAACGAGTAGTACTTGAGTATCATCATAGTTTAAAGGTTTTGAAGAAACTGAGTGTTGTCAATAATCAAAGATTATTCGTGGATAATAGACTCGGATCGATTTACAGTTGCATTCGAATATGATGATGTAAATATGGCAGTTTTAGAGAATTAATTGATCATTATGTTGGTAGCATTAAATGTATGACGTATGTATCGTATGTTGCGACTGTTTCCGAGTTTGCTTCCCAGATTCATGATTTGTCATGTGGCGATTCAAAAATTTTCCTATTCCGTTTTTCTATCTGACTAAATCAAATTTTCTGCCTAAATTGTGTAATTACTTTTAAACAGTGTGATGTGCTGGTACACATGGTAATCCGAAGATAAGCTTTATTTAAGCTTATCTTCTGATATAAAAAAAAAAACATGACGATTTTTTATCTTTTAAAAATTTGATTTTTTTTTTTTTGGTGGGCAAACAAAACTGTAGCTTTCCTAATAAAAGGTGTCTATTATATCTCCTACTAAGGTTCAACTAAATAAGGATAAAAGAAACTAATTATATTGCGTTGGTTGATCTGAAGAAGAATTCAGTCCTTAATACATTTACGTCATACTTTTAATTCATTGTTTTTATTACTTAAAAATTTTAAGCCGCATTACTTGAATTAATTGCAAGTGATATTAAATGCCACAAAAAAAAAACACGAAAATTTACTTTAATATACAATGAAAATTCTTTTAGAATAATGGCGTTTTTTTCTCTGCTTACATGCGTTCACTCTTTGTCACATAAAATATGACTACAATCCACACATTTATCATAAATATTTAGATTTATGTAATGTATATAAACATAATATTATAATGTTATTAAATTTATGTATTAAATACATACGAGTTTTATTATTTTACATTTTATTTCAATTTTTCTTTTACAGTACCACCACAAATACCACAAATAATAAATGACCGTGGAGAATATATAAAATCAAGAGCGGGACCATACGAAGAAGGTGGTGATTTACAATTAATATGTATTGTAATTGGAGGTAAGTTCATAATTATTATAATTAAAAATTATATAATAATAACTGCATAAATATATTATTACATGCCTACATACAATATGTTATGTAGGTTTAAAAGATTAAAAACATAAAACTATTTTTATATGCAAGAGAAAATTAAGATAAAAAATTGTTTGAAAAATAAATTATTAGTGAAAACGATTTATTTATATTGTAATGGTGTGAAATAAAATACTAGACACGTCGATAGATTTATAATATAAAGGATCAAAATAATAGATGTGCATTGGCACAGCACAAAATTGTTACTGTAAAATATATTTATTACTTCACTCGTTACATATAATTCTATTTAAATTTGCAAGGATGTTGTGGACAGACGATTTTCGTTATATGTTTTGATCTAAACTTAAGACTATTTCGCTTTAGACGTTTCTTTAACACTAATCCTGAATATTGCTTCTATACTCTTACTCCCGTTTTGATTTCTGTACTCAATTAATCAAATCTCTTCTGTACGTTAATATTAACCAATTAACCAAGTTAGAAAACATGTTTTAAGGTATTTAATTTAAGATTATAATATCCTTGTTCGTCGTTTTGAGTAATGATGGGTAGAACAATAGAATTTCCGTTGAATTTTAGCTATCTATTAATATCACTGTTAAATTTATTTGTATACGTCATCAATGTCATTAAACCAACTGATCAGCTCCTTAGCTATTATAAGTCTTAAAATCGCTCTACACATGCCTCGTCCGTCCTCATATTGAATATGATTCGCAAGTATGGATAACCTATTATGATATACATTTTATTATTAGGATTGAGTCTATTCAAAAAAATTTTTTTGAGGTTCGCACTGCACCTTCTTTTTTGGGAAGATTCCATCATTCTTTCGCCTTATGAACACGTATTAATTGACGTAACCACACTGGGACGTGATGTCAAGGATTTGTAATTCATTTTTCAGTTTATGACTTAATCTCTCCCGACATTTTAAATAAAATTGTGACTAACTCTAACTAAAGGTCTCGTTCCCCCACTATTTTCATGGTTCCTTTTCATAGGACCAATTATGGGAAACATGAACCTGTCAGCAGAATGCTGCATTTATGCAATAAACACAAACACAATTTTGACAAATTCTTGTTTTAGATAATCATTGTTTATATTCATATGTAATGGAGTATTAATACTTATAAGTTTTATTTTGTACAATTTTTAAATTTAGTTTTTAATTCAAAAATTGGTTCTGTCTAAAAAAAAAGGGAAAATGTGTATATATGTTTATGCATTCTTTAATTTTGTATGTATAATAAATAAATAAATAAATAAGAATAACCGTAACTTTAAATCTGCTAAGAAGGGTTTTGTCTAAGCACAAAGAAATTCAGTTTTGTTTAACCCAAATTTTTTATGGTTTTTCTTATATTGAATGTTTCAAATAATACATATATATAACAAATATATTTCATAAAATCTCGCGAACGAATTTGAATTTTTTGAATATCTTAGAAGTGGTGAATAATTAAGTTAAAAATAGTCACATATAGAACAACTCATTTATTTTGTAATATGTTCTATCGGTAGAGGTTATAAGACATAATTATTGGTTCAAGTACAATCTAATACCTACAGTTTTACCTTAATCAACTTACCAAACAAGAAACCAATTATATAAAATTAAAGCTTTGTTTCTATTAAAAAAGGTTTTAACTAATATTATGAATTTTTCTCCGAAGTTCAAAACTCAGCTATTCCATAAATTTTCAAATATTTGTGGTTTATAGTGCTATAATATTATTTAGTTTATAGAATATAATAAGAGGATATATTAAAATTTTACTAAATTTTGTGGTTAGTATATGTAATAGATATTATGTACATATGTATGAAAGAATTGAAATAATTGCATTTTACGTTATAGTTCTTATAAGTATGGTAGATGTATACTACACACTTACCATTCTAAATTTTCTATACGTATACAATATAACAAAAAATAATTTTACTTTAAACGAGAAAAAAAATAGAGTTGACCTTGTCAACCCTGTGATACCCGTACGAATTTGTTATCGTATGTGCGAATAACTAATGTGCCATAACCAACTATGGGGCAGACTATGACTTTAAGTTGCCGTATTACCATATTAATTTATGCAAAATTTCAGTACTATGTGTTATTCAAAATACTGGTTGTGCCAAACTACTATTGATGTTGTATGGCAGCTACCAGAAAGAGCCAAGAAATTTTAGCGAATTTTACCAAGCACATCGGCCCTACTAATATATTCACTTGTGTGAAATCTCAATATTACAGCTTTTATAGTTTCTGAGATATAGTCAAATAACTTTTGAAGTTGTATGGCAGGTACCAGAAGGAGCCAAGTAATTTCAACGACTTTTATGAGACACATTGGCCCTACTAATATATTCGTTTGTGTGAAATTTCGATACCATAGCTTTAATAGTTTCTCATATATAGTCAAATAACTTTTGAAGTTGTATGGCAGGTACCAGAAGGAGCCAAGTAATTTCAACGACTTTTACAAGACACATCGGCCCTATTAATATATTCACTTGTGTGAAATCTCAATATCACAGCTTTTATAGTTTCTGAGATATAGCCAAATAACTTTTAAGTTGTATGGCAGGTACCAGAAGGAGCCAAGTAATTTCAACAACTTTTATGTGACACATTGGCCCTACTAATATATTCGCTTGTGTGAAATTTCAATACCATAACTTTAATAGTTTCTGAAATATAGCCAAATAATTTTGGAAGTTGTATGGCAGCTACCCGAACCGGTACCCCGATCATGTCCAATTTAAATAGGGTTCTGGCACTTACTACAATAAATCATTTGTGAAAATTTGGTGAACTTAGCTCAATTAGTTTTTGAGTTATCGTTCGGACGGACGGACGGACGGACAGACGGACGGACGGACGGACGGACGGACGGACGGACGGACGGACGAACGGACGGACGGACAGACAAAGCTAAATCAACTGAGAATTTGACGCTGATCAAAAACATACACTTGAGTCTATATCTAAGACCGTTATTTCTTGGCGTTACAAACGGTAAGGCAAATTTAGTATACCCTTCGAACATACGTTCGTACGGGTATAAAAATTAAACAAACATGGATTATAATATGTTTGTGCGGCTTATCACGTGGTGAGTGGCTAACATTAAGTATAAATTATTTGAGTAAAAACTTAAATTCCATTTATTATTAAGATATCAAGATATTTTGTTTTTGAAATTGTGGTTATCTCAATAAAATTATTTCTGTATTAACATGTTTTTAGAAAATTTGAAAATATTTAATTTTAGTATTGATTTGTCTTGATTATAATATCATGCTAGCCACATTTTAGATTTGCAACAACCCACTGAGGTGTAAAAATAAACCATAATGTCAAAATATCTACAAAGCATTTAAGAAAATCAAATATGGAAGAATTCATAAAGTTTTATGTTAACAAAACGCACCATATTATTAAAATATTTTCATTATTCTATAATCTAAAAGTCTAAAGCTCTCCAGTGATTTCTTGGAGGTTTTTTAAAATACAAATTGTTCGTGTAAGTGCGGAGGAACTCAAATATCTAGATGTAGAGTTTAAGAAGTAAAAAAATTAGTTTCATTCTGTGACGGCTTTAAACCCAATTACCGATCACCCAATTGTATATATATACGTTAGTGAAAACGATTTATTTATATTGTAACGGTGTGAAAATGAAATAAAAATTTTATGTGGCCGCTGCTTAATATCAAATTCATCCAATCACCATGAAACTTTGGGAAGTTTGTTAGATTAATCGCGTCATTGTCTTAATTAATCGCTTTTACAAAATTTTTGGATTATTCTTCAGTCCTGTAATATTAAAATTTTAGGTCGCAAAACGGAATCATACAAGGTAAGATTAAATATGTCGGTCTTATACAAATGCAGAACAGACATGTGTTGTGAGATCTACAGCTTTTCTTCTGGCTAATATTTAAAAATTAGTTAGCTGTAAACAATCGGTTCCGGGAAAAATTTGACTTTTATTATTGAATATAATATTTATTGTTATTAGTTTTTATTTTATTTCGATTTTATGTTAAATTCCATTCGGGCAGATTTACTTTGATGCGTCATTTTTAATGCCTCAGTGTTTCTGTTGAAAACTTAATGGTAAATTATAGTATAAGTAATGCATACATGACTTATTTAATGTATAATGGTTATTGCATAAAATTTACTAATTTGATTTAATTGGAATATTAATTTAAATAACATAAAAATACCATGTAAATTTGTATACCTCAGGATGAGCTATTATTCATAAATTAATGTACGCAATCCACTTTTCTAAATTTGAGTATTTTATTTAGTTAGAACACAGGTTTGAATAGATTCAATAATATTGAAAGTGCATATTTTAATATGATTAGCAATATTAAACCATGTTGAACCTTTTATGTTATTCCAAGAATATTAACAATTCAAATAATTATGTGATAGATTATTACTATATGTTTTATTATTAAATATTCTACAGAACCATATTATATTTCCAATGTAATTTTACGTTTTGCCCACAATATTACGATATTGTGTACATCGTTAATAATTTTCATATTACAGATTCTAATTTTCAAATATCTTACAATCATGTATTATAATTTACAATGATTTTAACTTAATCAAAGGAATTTCATATTATTATCGTAATATTTTTTGATTATTAAATTTACAAATTCATCTCTCCACATCTAATATATAAGTATGTATTTTTAATTTGCTTTATTCAATTATAATTTCTGTAGATGAATTCATTGTGTAAAAACGTATAGTTAAATAATGGATGTTTATTCTTCATTTTACCATTAAATTTATTACCTTGACACAATTCTAAGAACAAATTCAAAATATGTACCTAAAAATTTTGCCTTGAACTCATGATGTATGTAGATAAATGTAGAAGGTATGAAGAACTCATAACGCCAGATGTATGTAGATA